ACAATGACTTTGGCCAAACGTCTTCAGTGTAGACAAAGTCAACCAGTCTATCGTCATGTGAATTCGAATATTGATAGACATTACTTCAGACTCCACCTTGAAATCTACTGTCGAGTCCGATACTTACTCCCATTTTTGACTCCGACTGGAAAACAAACACTTTCAACCACCCGTTGAAATAGCAAAACGCGTTCTTCTTCCATTTACCACAACTTACCTAGCGAATCCGGATTTTCTATCTATACAGCCACCAAAAGTAAATACCGAAGGCTAGATGCTGAGCCCGACATTCGTCTTCAGCAATAACAAATTAAACCCAACATATACACATTGGGCAGGCTAAAGAACATCACTCTTCCCATTAATTCTGTTTTGTCCAATTTGATTTTTGTGTTCCGGAGTTTGTAAATTAAGTTAAGTATGTCAATGTAAAGTTTGATTTCATAATGTTATCCCTCTCCATCACCTAATGTGGAATCGACTGGCTAATTTATAAAACTTTAATTTACTGAATATATACAGGGTGCCTTTTTAGATGGTCCGGCTGAATTTCTCTTGCATCAATGAGGCTATTTAAAAAACAAGTCTACATAGTTTCAAATTTGTGTGTTGTTTTGTATAGTTTCAAATGTTTACCTTTTTTTGGAGAAAGATTATACAGAGTACCTCAGGCCGAGTTCAACTTCAAATTTCAAATAGGACCCTATAACTCCTGACACACCATTTTAAACGATCTTTTATGCTAAAACAATGATGCTATCAGATTATAAATTGGTCAAAAAATGACAAAGTTAGGGAAAAAAGTTTGAAAAAAAAAGTCTTTGCTATGTATTAACATGTCATGTTTGAACTGCCTGCCTTGCGTAAAGGTGCAAAGATTTGGTCTTTTTAACCCTCTTCACCCGTGCTCAGAACGATATAGTCAGGGGAGATGGATTGACAAGCGTCTTCTATCCTTTGTCGCGTACTTCAACTAAGGTTGCTGGGTGATGATTGACCTGTTTTTTAAAAGGCCCAACAGAAAATAGTCAAGAGGAGGTAAATCGGGTGACCGAGGAGGCCAACGGGTCGGGCCTTCAGGTCCTCTGCCACCTATTCCGGAAGTGACGATTCAAATAACGCCTCACCTGCAAAGAATTGTGTGCCGGGCATCCATCAAGCTGGAGACTCATTCTTTGTGGTTGTTGCAGAGGAACATCATCTAATAGTGTTGGTAAAACCTCCCTCAAAGCACCATTTAAATTATTTTCGTAGAGTAAGGCCCAATTTTATTTATTTCCGAGAAGTCCACACCAAACGTTGATACTGTGAACCACCTGATGATGGCAAGAGTACAAAATTCTCGGATATCCTCTGCGTTTCAAAACGAACGTTCGAAAATTCGAAAAACGGTTTAGTATGCCATTAGAGTTGAACTAGGATTCATCAGTCATAGGGTGTAGGGAGAACGTAGAAAGTAAATAAATGTTGCAAGAGTACCTCTTCTTCGATTATGTAAGTATCTCTGTGAAGTTAGAGATCTTCCTCGCAAAACAACCAATTCTGTGCGAGCGTTCAAAGAAATGCCACCCCCGAACATCAATGACCCACCTGAGGAACCGTACATGGGGCGTGCCTTTCTCCTGACCGTCTCCATATGAAATTACGCCCATCTGAAGATTTGAAGCCGACTCTCACCTCATCTTTTAAGAGAATTCTTCCCAATGTATAATTCACATGTTCACATGCGAATTGAAGCCTGGCCTTGTCTTATGACATTTCTTATCTCAGTTCCATGAACGGTGCAGTTTCTTAGAGCCTGATGACGGATGAATTTTTCGTCTGTCTCATCTGTAGATCCTGTCCTGGCCTTCCAGTGTGAAGCCCTGGTTCTCTGAAGTGCCAAAGAACTCTTCCCATTCAATCTCCTGGCGCCTTCACGCTATCCGTACCCTTCCTCTAATAAAGTTATTTCCCTGACACTGTCATACTGACTCAAATGCCTGACTGGAGCCACTGAAAAAGGTTTAAGAATAAGAATAATATCAAATGAAATCAACGGAGGAAAAAACAACCTAAAGAGAACTCTAAGCGTAGCGGAATGGAAGGGCATACTGATACGTTTTGTACAAATGGGGTTAATTTTTAAAAAAGTAAACAAAGTAATATTCACTGTTTATTTTGACTGCGATAGCTAATAATTACTTGTGATGAAAGATAATGGATTTAATATTAAACTAAATAAATGGAGTGGCGCGTTAAATTTGGCCATCAGTGTAATAAGCGATTGTCGGGTAAAATGTGTCTCTCGATTGTATTCATTGAACGTGAAGTATGAGTGGGTTGATGGTGGAATTGGGTCCACTCTAAAAGAACTTTGAATATTCAGGTGCGTGAATTTTATGTAAGCACGGCACAATGTATTTCGGTACGAATAAGAGTGTCTCTAGGTTAAAAAAAACTGCATGGGTTGGCGACTGATATGACCTTGTCGATAGCCCTTAGATCCGAAGTAGATGATTCTCACGCAATCCCAAATTAATTTGTGTAGAACTTACAGCCTACTGATTTACTGATAAAAACGAAATAAGCTGCCTATTAACAAAAATCCCTTTGAATTCCTTTCAATAAACTATTCTTTCGGACCAGGTTCAATGTCAATTATTAAGTCACCGTATTGATTATAAAAGTGATTGCTAATTCATTCGCCGTTCTGGTAGGAACTACGTTCGATTTTCATATAAATGAGGCTCCAATTCACTAGATATACTCTTTCCAAACATGTATTCACAACGTTTAATTAAACCTCAATGACAGTTTAATTGAGCGTTATTAATATTTCTAATCGATTAAGTGATTATAAATTGACACGGTTTAACGAACGAGTTACAAAGCTTTTCAGTCATCTAAGCGATGGTGGGCAAATGCGTTTATTTGTATAAATCCCAAGTGCTGCCAATCTTTTTGTACACTCTGCACAGTGATGTGTAAGATAGAGAGTGAGTGAGTGAGAGTAAAAGAGAGAGAGAGAGAGAGAGAGAGAGAGAGAGAGAGAGAGAGAGANGAGAGGAGAGAGAGAGAGAGAGAGAGAGAGAGAGAGAGAGAGAGAGAGAGAGAGAGAGAGAGAGTGAGAGAGAGTTAATGACAGAGAGTGAGCTGATAACAAGCCTTAGGCAGCCATTGTCTTTATTGGCGGATAGGTGTCCGATATTTTGGAGTGTAGAACCACCAAAAATAGTTTGGTCCAAATCCATGACCCACCATCTGTGCATCTGTTAGTAATACTTTTAATAAGATTGTCACTCATTTTATAAGGAATTTCACTCCATAGACGTTGAAGCGCTGCACGCAGTTGTTACAGGTCAACTGGTTGCGGATGGTGATCGAAAAGCCTTGTTTGCAATGCAACCTAATGGGATTGAGGTCTGGAGACAATTGGGGAAGGGACAGATGGGAAATTACCATGTTTTCGAAACATTGATGACGAATTCGGCCTCTGGTATTGCATTGTCATCCAGAAATCGAAAATCCCTGCCATTGAGAGCCCTGGTTTGAGGGATGTATTCCTCGATAATTTCTTGGACGTAACGGACTCCGGTGGGTTGCCTTCGACAATACGGAGTCCAGCTCGTCCTCCAGTGTAAATCCCACCGCAGACCATTACACCGCATCCCCCAAACTGCACTGAAGGGAGCATGAACGGGGCATTGTACGCATCCCCTGTTCTCCTCTTCGGCGCCTGATATCACTATACAGACAGAAACGCGACTCATCAGTAAACATATCAGCATTCCAATTGATGTTCACTTCTAGGTGCTCGCTGCATCATATTCTTCTGAGTTGCAGGTGGCGGGCTTTTGCTGCAGGTCGTCTCAAAATGGCATACGATGTCCCTGTTGATAAAGGCCTTGAAACTCTTGTACCTCATTTAGTACTTGGCGGGCACTACGGAAAGGAATCCGTCTTGCAGCAATGACATTATTTCTATTCTCCCTTAGCGTCGTAATGCGCTGACATCCACTATCAGGCCTCCTTTTGGCACTTCCAGTCTCTCGGAATCGGGCTAAAGCCGCTCTGAGAAAAGCTAACCGCCTCTGCGATATCCACTTGCCAGTGACCTCGATGACTCTTTCTCACAATAGTTTTGAGAACTTCTGATTCAAGATGATGTCTTTCCATGGTTAAACAAAATACAACTGGATTAAAATGGAGAAAAGATGAGAAAAGGTGTCTAGAAAACTAGCAATCTTCATCTTTTCTAGTCATTAGTCAATCTGTTATTAAAAATGAGGATTAACATTTATTTGTTTTTGGTTTGTATTTTCTGTTTTGTTTTATACAGCTAACAAGAATACATCGGTTAATTTAATTAAAATTAGTAGAATAAAAATAAATTACAAATATCCCTATTCATTTTTGAGCAGTTTAGGGCGGTGCGAAGACCTATGCAGGCTGAACTTAACGAAAAATTATTCAGATATCGATTAACGGTCACTAATCTCTACACATTTCTTAACGAAAAGTCTAGATAAAAATATAGATTGCCTAACAGACCAATATTGGTCGTGGTAGGTACAGGAGAGAAGACTCCTTTTAACCTTAATATTTAAAAGACTTTTGTGAACTGCCATTTCTTGGTTGACTGGGAATATCGACATAAGAAAGGACAGATATGGCAGATATGTTACATGTAAGGTAATAAAATTTTTACGCAATAAAATAAATCACATAAGCGATGGAATTGTGATAATCTTCTTGCAAGCTTAATTACTCAAAACTCAAATAAGCGCCCGAGATATTGTGGTAAATCGGGATGGTACAACGTTCCATCCGTCGGTTTCGTACATTTTCCCGGCTGTCCTTTAAAGGTTGAACTTTTGGTCTTTGGTGACGATGTGATACACAAACGTCAAATTTTGAACCCAGTCGAATAAAGGAAGGAGAAGCGACTTTCTGCACCGCCGCCTCCGAGCTGGGTCATACAACTCCTCAGAAGGCATTCTCGGTAGGCGGGGAAGAGTGAGTCAGTTTTGACGTCACGTGAGCCTCTAACTTAAGCCTATTCCCACTTAGCGGACTTCATTCTCGTTTCCGTGCTTCCACCGTCGACTTCTTCTTCGTTTCGAGTAAGTCGGATTTTCTATCCTACCTAAAAGATTTTTCTTTAATCCACGAGTTTTATATAATGGAAATGAAAGTTTGGATTTGTCATTTCCATTTATAAACTTTCCTTTACTTTCATTTTTTTTTTCTTTGCGTTTGATGTTAATAAAATTTGTATCATAAAATACTAGATTTTTCTATTGGTCGGTATTTGCTTCAACGAAATAGCAAAAAAAAAAAAAAAAAAAAAACAGACAAATATGAACTGCTCATAGAATTTTTAACATTGGCCATGGAAAATTTTAAATTTTAACATTGCCTGTCCTCTTATTGTTTATGATATTCCATAGACGGAGACCAAAACTAATTTTGTTTTGGTTGTCTCGTTCTATGGAATATTATAAATAACAGGATTTAAAAAAAAATAATAATAAAACAACCTACAGAGGGTAAACAATTTGGGGGGGGGGTGTTTGAGGGGCAACAATATTATCAATTAAAGATATAGTTTTTAATATTTAAACTCGGTTAATGAGGATAATCGGTAGTTATGACATTCAGTTATGACATAGGGTCGAGGATAGTCGAGTTTTATGAATTATCGATTAATCCGCAGTGGTATTGGGTGGCACGGGGTCACTGGTGCATCATGACATCCGTCGATTTACCACGTTTTATTGCCCAATGCAGAGATATATTTAATAAAAGCCTCTGCCGGATGTTTTTTTATAAAATTATAAATTTTTTCCAAAAATCCTTTTTTTTTTTAACCGAATCGAACTTGTTGACTTTACAACCGGTAGTTTCTATGAATCTAGTAATAAATTTATTGAGGATGTTTCCTGTTTTTTTTTTTTTTTTTTTTTTTTTTTTTCAATTGTTGTATGGCGTATAATGGGTTTAATCTTGCCGAGGACATCGCAATTCCCAACTAAAATTTGACCCGATAGTTTTTCCGGAAGATTTTCCCAGCGGTCCGAACACAATTTTCAACAGCGACCATTCAATTTTTGTAGTAAATTCACCAGTTTTCGTGGTCCGCTTGACGAATTAATATCTTCGTAGTAAAGGTCATATTCACCCGATTAAGAATAGGCCATACGAGGTTGACACACGGACTCTTTGGCTCAAAGCTTGCGTACGTGTCAGGCATGTAGAAAAAGTCTTATGTGTTCCATAAACCCCTTGGCTCCATATAGAAATCCTATGAATGCCACCCGATACGAGAATCGTGCTTGACTACGGCATCAAGTATCTAGATCTGATTTTTGGAGAAATAGGACTGTTTTACCGTATACAGTATTTTATAGATATCTCGTTTTGAGTTTCTTTGGTATATTGAAACTAAATGAATTTATTAGTGTGAAGGTGTAGTTGACTGGGCCGATGGCGGAATGTTGACCCATTGATCCTCAATTAGGGACCTTATTGATAATAACAGAAGGACTCAGGACATATCATCGATGTAGCAGCCCCTTTTCTTGCAAGGGCGTCCGTTCTTTCGTTGCCCTCTACTCCCACATGTCCTGGGACCCAGCAGAGGGTGACTTTGTTTAGCTTAACTTAACTTAATTTAGTTTTGTTTTGCAATTCAGCACCAGTTTTGAGCTAATGATGTTTGAGCTTAGTGCTTTGATGTCTGTTGCATAGCTACATTCTTGTCTTTTTTACACTTTGTTCAAATTAAACCGAGCACATCTCTCAATTGCATAGACTTCAAGCTAGAAGACCTAGGAAGAACCGTACATTTTTACGTTTGCATCTAGGAACTGCATTGATTGATCTAGCTGTTGACAGCACCCGGAGCCCACCTCGGCAAAGCTGGACTTGCCGGTAGACTGAGAGAAGCGATGGTTCATTTCTGTACATGTCTGTACATAAATGTGTAGATTTGAGCTTACATAAATCCTAATACAAAAAAAAGCTTTAAGAAAGCGCTAGGAAAAATATAGAGATTAACAGCTCAAGAGTTACTCGATTCGTTACCTTTGGACTTCCATTACAGCCTATCGGTGGAATTTCATTTATTTCACAAACCGCCAGTCATTCCTCCAAGATTTAATATCCGAATTCTCTAATAAATTTTTTTTTGTTAATTTAACAACAAAGGGCTGTACTATGACTGTTATTCCTGTTGGGCTCGTGGATACGGATTCGTGTATTTCAACTGAGCTGGATGGATTCGGCCGTGGATCGATTGCGGGTTTGTGCTTTGGACTTTGCCTTGAATAAATAATAATATATTTTATTGCATATTGTTATTTATAAATTTTTTTAATTTGTCAATTTTTCTATAAGTATTAGCAGCATAGAAGATATCCGTCTGGAGTGTCGTTTAAAAAATACAAA